ACGTAAACTTATAATTTGGAACTCAATTGCAAATTTATGTAAAATCTTTTCCGTAAATAAAAACTAAAAATCAATAAGGTGATGAAGTCAAGTCTTCATTTTTTATTTTTTTTTGGTTATAAAAAGTCCACTCTCTTTCCAAGCCATCAGTATCTATTGGAATTCATTGATTTAACAAGTGAGACTCTATTTTCTCATATGTTCGCCGCCCATTTCTTTGAGTAGTTTATTAGGGAAAAACTATCTAAATTACAAGAGAATTTCTTCGAATTAGATAATTTTGGAGAATTTCGTGCCCTGAAGTCACAATATTATCTAATTCGAAGAAATTGTCTTGTAATTTTTATAGTTTTTCCCTAATAAACTGTTCAAAGAAATGAATACTAATTTCCTAAATATTCGAATAACTTAACTTGATTGTCAAACCACCTGATCTAAAACACTAATTTGTTAGAGGGGCAAAATACATATCATTTAAATAATATCCTCAACGTGCCCCCTTGCTTGTGTGCATGATCTAGTTTTCCCATTGAAATTGGATACGTGTACAATTTTATTAAATGGGTATTGACAAGATTCGAGTTCGTAATCTCTGATTTAGGGGTGAACGTGGTTCGGTTTGGGCAGTTTTTGTTATATTTTCAACTCAAACCATTTCATGCGGTTTGGAATTTTTCCAAACCAAACCAAACTATTTCATTTTTCAAACCAAACCAAACCAAACCATTATTTGCGGTTTGATTCGGTTTTAATCCACGGTTTACCCATCGACATTATTTGCCGAACCCAAATCGCTCACCACACCTCACTCGCAAACAAATCAGCACATTAAAGGATAGTACTGGACAATATATTGTGAATATTTGTTAATGATTTACTTACCATGGGATTGGCCAAGTGAATCCTTAGCAGTTTGCATTCCAGAACTTTTGCCAAGCCAAGACCCAACAGCATCTTTGAATTTATCCACCATGCCTGATCCTTTGCTTTCATTCCCAGCACTCAGTGCATCTTCGCCTTCTCTTTTATTTTCAGTATAGGTGCCTAAACGCCTTGCTACTTGCTCCGATTCAGTCACCTTTCCCATTGGCTTCCCTTCCCCTGTCCTCCCAGTTTCACCCTTATTCTTATGGAGTGCACTCGATATAACCTCTGACAATGCCTTATCTTTGGATCGATTTTCATTTCCTAACCCAAAAATTAAATTGAAATTAAACAAACACATATCATTCCAAGCAAACCTGCGAGTTTTTAAAATAATTGAAATTTATAATTTAAGTCAAACTTTACCAGTCCTTTGTGCTCCACATTCTTGGTCTTGTAGTTGTAGAACCCAGAACGAATAATCTGTGACCCAGAAAATTAGAAACTGGCCAAAATTGGTAAAATCAATGTAGAAAAATAAGAGAACAAAATTGTAAATAGTAGTTTGGAGCGTGAATCTGATTCACCTGCCCAGCATTCTTAGCTGCATCCACTGCCAAGAATTCCTCCATCGAACCTGAAGCTAACCAGTTGCAAATCATCAAGTTGTTAAAGCAAGCCTGGCATCAGCAGATGAAAACAATTAACAGTCTATGATAATTAGAAAACAAATTCCTTCAATCAAAAATCAAAATCAAAGGAATTTCAATTAAGAATCTATGACCAACACGTCTAAACAACAAATCAGGAAAAATATATATGAAACCAACAAGATTTAAAAATAACAAAGAAAAACAAAAGAAAACAAGCCCTTACAGAAATATTTTGACTGATTTGATTCCAAGGCCTTGGCTGCATTAGCTATTCTCCTTACTCCTGAAGAAATAGGGCAGGGACGATGAACTGCAAAATGTAAAGGAAACAAAAGAAGTTAATACTACATCGTGAAATAGGGCAGGGACGATGAACTGCGAATCCTTCCTCTCTAGGCTTGGGTTTACAGAATTGATAGGGTTTTCTGTGAATTCAAAAGCCCAATAATCCAAAAAGAAAAAAAAAATGATTTGGGTTAGGCCCAAGTTCAGTTTACTTGGCTCGCCCCTGCCCGGAATCTGGAACTGGAAGTTTTCATGATTTATATTACTAAAAAAAAAAAAATCTGGTTTGAAAATTTATAATTTAATAAAGAAAAATTCATTAAAAAAGTGCGGTTCGGTTTGGTTT